CACCTCAACACACCCAACTGTCAAACTCATAAAGTTCGCAGACGATACCACTGTCATCAGCCTTGTCAAAGACAACGAGTCAAAGCAACGAGTCTGCATACCGTCAAGAAGTGGAGCAGCTGGCGCTCTTGTGCAGCCAACACAACCTGGAGCTGAACACATTCGAGACTGTAGAGATGATGCTGGACTTCAGGAAACATCCTTCGCCACAGCTGCCCATCACACGATCCAATTGCCTTGTGTCAACTGTCCAGACCTCCAAGTTTCTGGGAATCACCGTCTCTCAGGACCTGAAGTGGGAGACACACATCAACTCAGCAGATGATGTACTTCCTGAAGCTGCTGAAGTAACACGACCTGCCACAGAAGCTGATAAGACAGTTCTACACAGCAGTCATCGAATCCGATGAATGAAGGAAGCCCATAGATTTCTGACCATATTTCGGTGAATGATGATAGTCCATCCTTCACGTTCTTTACCTTGTACTGCTTTTTCGTCGGCTCTTTGCGCGATCCAGACGCTCATACAGACCTGCAAGGAAGGTCGCAAAGAAAATATGGACTGGGGTTTTAGGAATATGTTTGCTCTCAATATGATTAAGTGGAACGGAGTGAATAATGACACACGACTCGGTCCGTCCTGAAGTAAAGAGGAAACCCTTGAGTGCATAATAAGTCACTTTCTAAGCTATATTTAATTAAGTTGTTGGTACTTTTTTTGTTCAAAAGAAATATTTTGAAAAAGAAAAGCAAATTTGAGACTTGAGCCCCCCTAAAATAGGGCTAACGATGCCACTTGCATCGGGTGCTATTCTTACCTTATCGCCTGCAAATTTGTCCCTCTGATGTGTTACCAAAGTTGTTTTACAGCATCTTCAGTATCATGTAATGTGAAGGAGAAATTCATTCGGTGGTATGCTTCCCGTAATTTGCATTGAACTCATCCATGTTTGCTTGTGAGCATTTCATTGTTCTTACCCGTTGAGTTGAGTGGCTAACTGTGATGAGTGGTGCCCCAAAGTAATGAAGGGAGTAGGGGGAGCACGTTAGTAACCTCAATAGTAAAGTCCTGCAAGTAGCCTATTGACCTTCTTGACATTCAGGAATAAGGTGGGTCAAGTGTGCAGTGGGACAGAAGGACTCCCAACATAGTTGTCAAAGGTACTTGCTAAGGTTATGATTGACAATGAATCAAGAATCATGTAACACATGATCTTTTTTGGCCCTCTCACTCTCAAACACACACAATGCACAGATATCCTTCTGTGCTTTCTCTCACGCCTTCCAACCCACTGTCCAATTATCTTGATGCTTTTCAAACAGCCGAGCTTTGTAGTCCTTTAGCAGGGTTCCGTGTAAAAGGCAAAGGCTGTTTCCTGCTGATGGAATTATAATTATACCTCTTATTCGAGTTGCCATTCGATCAAGTGTGTTGTTCCCCTTATCTGTGAACAGGCCTTTTTTTTTTCCTACGCGCGTACTATTGTGCATATCAAATGGCCTCATCCTAAAGCAGGGGTGTCAAAGTCAAATGGACGGAGGGCCAGATAAAAATTTTTGCTGCAAGCCGAGGGCCGGACTGATCGAATGTTCATTGAAAATTTTAAAAATAACCACATATTGTTTATTGAACCAAATTTAATTGACTGAAAACCTAACAAATACATTCCAATACGGTCAGATAAATAAAGCAACATTTTTTTATGGCTATGTCAGTAAACTTTAATTTTCAACAGGCACAAAAAAATTTCCTTTGTATAAAAATACCCATAACATGAATGAAAGAAGCCGATATTATTCAAGGCACTATCACTAGTCCATATTTTCTCTTTTAGCAAAAGTAGGCTAAATTTACTTAAAAGAAAAACAAATAATAGTGCAGTAATTTTCGATCATTTACTCGAATAAAATATTTTTAAAACATAATTGGATTGAAATACAATAAAATAAAGTGCAAAAATGTATAAACCAAAAACAACACTTTCTTCAAGAAGTAACAAGCAGCGAAAGCAAATATTGTACTTTAATTTTTAAACTTGAACTGAGTAAAAACTCTTAGTATGTGATTGCACAGTATATTATAAGTAATATTCACTTCTTTGAGGCTGAGGCTGATACTCGGTGGTGTCTTAACTTTTCTACAAGTTCATCAATATTTGGTGTCAGGCTCTGAGCTGAGCAAATCCTCAAAATTGAGTGAGGGTGTTCAGCAGTAAATCGACTTCTGTGTGATGTTTTGTTCAGCTTCATCAAAGAAAATAGTTGTTCACACACGTATGTGCTGCCAAACTTTCGACAACGTTTCAGCAGCCTGGATGCGCAGCGGGACCACTGTGTCGGGGAGGAAACCGTCAAACTGCGCAGCACGCACTGCCGTATCTTTGCAGAAACACTGCAATTGCGTTGCTGGTTATGCTCACGTTTAAAAAGAGTTGCTTTTTTCGGGGTAAACTTCGACGCAAGCTTTAAGTATACCTCGACTCTCACCTTGTTTGAAACCCCCGGTTCTCAGTGTCCACCTTCCGTTTTGCCATTTTTGATGGGTATCTGAAAGCTAATGTCACTGTTATGGGAACGACTGCTAGACGAATAAATATTTAAATAAAGCGGCCGACTGCTTGGCGCGTCACCGTTGCATTGTGGGAAATGTAGTTTTGGTGCGTGTAAAAGATCTGCGGACTCTCGGCTTGCTGCGGTCCGCGGGCTGGTTCTAATAATAAATCAATATCATCCCAGGGGCCACTGAAAACATTCTCGCGGGCCGGATTTGGCCCGCGGGCCGGCACTTTGACATATGTGTCCTAAAGAGTCAGATCTTTAGGCAGTATGGTCACAGGCAGCAGTCATTGAACTTTGACAAAATATTTCAACTGGAAATTGTATTGCTCAGAAAACAAAATGTTGTAGTCCTGTTAAAGTCCCGTAGGTAATCAACCAATGCTAAATGTTTTGTTTTATAAATTAGATATAAATACAAGTTTTAGCATTCTTCAACAATGAAAGTAATCTTTTATTTTCAGACATTATTATATTATATTAACAATGGAGTCGACATACACGTCACAATCCAATTCCATCAAGCAATGAATCATGCTTATTTCTATATGAAATTAAATCGCTAAACATTTGTTCTAAGGTACTTTTAAACCGAGAGCAACATGAATGCCAATTTATCGGTTTGTCACATCATCATAATTGCATTTACATTTAAGTCTCCACCTAGACATTACAGAAAGTGTGCAGTAACGAAGCTTTAAACATTCTACGCTTACTTTGTACATCGTACAGTGATGGATGTAAGATACACATTAATATACGTAATAACATCATTCGTGGCGCTTTGATGACATACATACAGTTCTTTGAAATGAATATTTTTAATTACAATGACAATATTTAAAATCAGTGGTATTGCCATTTTGATTTAAACTTTGAACATTAAGAATTAAAAAGAGGTTCTGGATGGTCAAAAGTGTGTTAGAGTTAGGGTTATAAGAATATATGTTTTGGTATTTCCTCAAACTGTATCGCTTCTCAAGGTAGGTGAAAAAAAAACCCAAACAGCCTGCATAAGTTAGGATTGATGATTTTAGTTTGTGTCGTACATTTAATCACAGTCGGCAAACTTGATGACACGGCATATTTGAAATAAAATTTAAACATGGGTATGATGGCTGCATGTTAAATCACTAACTCAATCTCACTCAATTAAGCAGTCAGTGTCATTCTTTGAATAATCCTAATAGCACTAATTTCTACACAACCTTCTCATCCTGGCCGGTGCACAAATTACTTTGCTTTTGGCATGTTCTTATGTTATTGTTGAAGCCTGCTGTTAAGATTGTGCAATGTTTTACTGATTTACAGTATAGTATATATACATATTTGGCATGGTTGGCATAAATTACATTTCACAGATTGGGAATCTTTGTGTGTTGTCATGTTACCTTTGTGTATGTGTTTCTAGTATTTGTGTGTGAATATTTTGAAGCAAAATCACTCCCAAAGTCTATGCTAATTTCCGACAGCATTTGAATGGTCTTTTGCCAGGCTAATGTTCAAGTCAATAAACAGTACTCTGACTATGTTTTTAAGACTAAAGATTTACATCTAATTATTTTTGTTGTGTTTAGTTTGAGTGTAAACTCCAACATGGGAGTCAACTTTTAATCAGTTGAAAGGATGCTTAGAGACGGTAGAATCACACAAGCTATATGCTTGCTACGCAATCAACATGGTGCATTCAGGTCCCTTTTCCATTGGGAACTTGCACACACACCGCACTGTTCTGCACATTAATCACTTTTCTTCGGTTATAATGCTTTAAAGATCGAGTGAAGCCAAACTCAAGATTACATTTCAATTAATCACCCAGCCTTAGCTTCATATAACCCTGGGTGTTTAGAATTTTAAGGTCAAAGCTTCCCCACTTGTTTTGGGGATTATTTTGAGATATTCCTGATGTCAGGAAAAGCTTACTCTTGCACATTTTTGCAATTGGAGTTAGTTAGGCCAATAGGTCACTAATGGCTTCAAGGCCAAAATCTCTTGGCAGCAGGCCACAGCTCCTGAGTCTTTAAGTGCAATGAAGCTGGCCAGCCATGCACCCATTTACAGCAGAGCAGCATAACTGTTTCCTCTGGTCAGTGCGACACTCATTATTGCTTGCTCCGTAGTGTCAGATCTCAGCTAAAAGGCCATGTTTCACATTTATGCCTATTAAGCACAGTCAAATCCCCCAGACAATGCCTCAGCCTATTTACGAAACTCCAGTCAGTGCATAAATATGTGCCTTGTTTTCTATTTTGTGGAATGTTTGTTTTTTTTTTTTTTTTTTGTGATATTATAACCATTTTTGACCAGAACGGGAATCAGCAGTATTTAATTTTCATTATGGGTGTTGACTATCTCATAGATGCAAATGAAATCCACGTTGCAGGTGACTTTTTTTAACGGAATGGTTGTCAGTCTGTTTCTTGTGTCTGCTTTTTTGTTTTCAGAGAGCCAGCTGCTTCCAGGGAATAACTTCACCACAGAGTGCAACATCCCTGGAAATTTCATGTGCGGAGATGGGAAGTGTGTCCCAGGAGGGTGGCAATGTGATGGATTGCCCGATTGCTTTGACAAGAGTGACGAGAAAGGCTGCCGTAAGACCACTTTATTTGATTGATCATGGTTTTGTCAATCCTGCCCCTCAACAGAGTACAGTATTTGCGAGCATTTTTACTATGCCAAGTTTTGAGAACATGGTGGTTAACTGGTAACACAATTGTAAAAACAAGAACACTTCTGAGGGAGAACATGAATGAAAGACGGCAAAAAAACGGTGAGGACCCAGTTAAAAGTTAAATGACCATCATTTTTATTCTTTACTTTATTTTTTACATTGTTCACAACTCTCACTGATTGTGCAATAGTCTAATTGTAACATGTATTTGTTACATATTTTGATGCATTTTTATGCTTTAGAAAACATTTATGTCTGAATTTTGGGAGGGGGGGTGCTTGAAATAAATTAGGGCATTTACATGGAAAATGCGTCTCTACTTACAAAATTTTCAATTTAAGACATTTCTTCCATAACCAATTAATTTCGTAAGTAGAGGTACCACTGTACTTCCGTTTCTTGTGTTTTCTCCAGGTAGTCAGACATCTTTCCCAAGTCCAAAACATGTATGCTAGGCTAGGTTTGTGGATGTCTTTGTCTGTTTTTGTGATTGACATCTTTAAGAGTGTACCCTACCTTTCTCCCTTTTGAAAATGAATGGATGAATTTTGTTGTTGTTGTTGTTGTTGTTTTTGTCATAGTATCATTAGGCAGCATGTGGAGTTTGTATCCTCTGACTGTATCTGTTTTGAGGTTTTATATAATGTAGTCCAGATCAAAAACGTATACGCTTGGATGGGAATATGAATGGATGGATGAGTGAGCGTCTCCGATGTGTCAGCTCCTGGTATTCTGTCCATGATGTAGCTCATCTCTTGACTAAAATCTCCCAGGTTAGCCTGCCGATCCCTCCAACCCTGCATGTGCCAGGCGGTATCGTGTATGGATTCCTCCACATGGTACCAATGGAGCCATATAACCTCCTAAAGTCAAAGTCCGATACATATATCGGATTACTGGTGACGAGTGACTTGTGATTAGGCTTACTCTTTTCACAAAATGGAACCTCTACTGATTTATTGCTTTGGCTCAGAAATTATACTTTTTTTTTTTTTAACCACTCTTGAACTCTTGAAATGTTAATTCTATTTTATCAACTGATGCCTAAGTCTTAGCCTGCAGTATACTGTGCATTATGTGTTTGCAGTTAGAAAGTCATTCCTGTCACACCAACGTGAGACACTGCAGCAGTTAGCTAAAGCAACAAGATTCGGCTGGGTGCTACTGCGCATAAACATGTTACAGTTTCGCTCCTAAGTCAGTAAACAAAGCCTCCCTGGCTGTGATATTTGTGTGTGTGTGTGTGTGTGTGTGTGTGTGTGTGTGTGTGTGTGTGTGTGTGTGTGTGTGTGTGTGTGTGTGATAAAGACTTTTCTGCTTATTAAAATGAATACAGGTATGTCATCAAGTGTATATATTCAACCAACAGATGACATTGTGTGTAGGCAGAGTGTATCTGTGGGTGTGAAATCTGCCACATGGCATGAGGGACAAGGGCTTGTGTTGGAGCATACACAACAAACTGATGCAATACAGAAGTATACAATTCAGTTCATTTGGTTAAAAAAACAGTCCTGATTCTGTCTCTGAGAAATATTTAAATAATGCCGTTTGCTGTTTAGAGAGAGGTGACAGTCTTTAAAATAATTATCAATATAACAGAAATATAACATTGTTGCATTGCAGCACCATCATCATAGCACGTACTTTAACAGTTTTCTGAGTGATCAATACAAGGTGGTCAAGAATACGTGAGTAAGTCCATGACGATCAAGTCACCGAAAAGGTATGAAGCCATTAATAGTCTGCCAAATGACAAAGCAAGTCGATTAAATATTGCTACTGAACATCGTTCAGAACATCTGTTCGTATGATGTTAGCTCTTCTCCTTGACCACATTAATCACAGGAAGTTGCTTTTTATGAATTCCATAACATTTGAAATAAAATACATGTCAATTTCTCAAATTTACAGAATCTTCTAATAGAGGTCAAAAGGAGCACGGGCACACAATGTCCCAAATGACCGGAAGAGACAAAATAGATTCTGACAGGGGAGTGAAGAAGTAAAGCTGACTGAGCCTTCTGGGCCTCCGAGCCAGGATTAGCCTCTTTGCCCTTGTCTGGAAAGGGCAAAAGCAGGCAAGAGGGGAGAAATGAAACGCATAGGCAACCAGGTTGAATGGGCATGACTCGTAATGCTAAGAGAGCAGATCATAAGATGAAACAAATGTGATCTACACAAGTGTAATATAAAATGTATATAATTGTACATAATAAGGCTTTGTTGCAGACATTTCATTTCTGTTTCCGGTGCAATTGAAACATTATTGTTAAGAGCTTAGTTGCCTCCTTTTTTACTGCCTATTACTTACTTCATTGATATTCTTATCAGCGGTGGAGCACACTTGTCCCATGGATGCTCACTAACTGCCCAACGGCTCTATATGTGTCAATACTACAGTACAATGATGACCGAACGTCGACATTATGGTGGAAAAAAAAAAGATGAGCGCCAGTGGACTTTTTTCTTCAACTATAATGAGCATTTCGACATGCTGACAGAACTTGCAGTTGACGCACCTGTCACACAGTCATCGTAATAAAGGGTTAATAGATTTTTTGGGGGGGCAGGGGGGATGCATTTGATGCGCCCCATGCGTAGTGTGTTTAGTTGCAACCTGGTCACCTTCAATTTGCAGCGTCTCCTAAGCTTTCCGAGAGGAGCACGGTATTCAAATTAAATTGATTTTTATTGGATTTATTAAAAAGTGAATGCAAAAACACACACTCTGCCAAAGTAGCTTGTCGATGAGCCACACACACTTTACTGGTGGTCCAGGTCCAGGAAGCAAATGAATTTCACAACCAAAGTGTGCCATTATTTTCAAAATGGATCTCTATGGAATTCTCATGTCTCATGAAAACTCCACAATTTGGAAATTGTGTGTGTGTGTGTGTGTGTGAGTGTGTGTGTGTGTGTGTGATATATATTATAATAATACATTTTATTTATAAGTGCCTTTCAAAACACTCAAGGACACCTCACAATCAAACAAGAACAATAAAACCACAGATACAATTATAAATAATAAAAGAAGAGATGAGTTTAAACTGAGTATGCAATTTTATTTTCATTTTTTGAGATGAGTTTTGAATGTGGGAAGAGAATCAATATTACGGATGTCGGGTGGGAGTGAGTTCCAGAGTTTGGGGGCAGAACGGCTGAAAGCCCTGCACCCCATCGTGCTGAGACGGGCAGAGGGTACACAGAGGTGGAGGGAGGCTGAAGGCCTGAGGGAACGAGAGGGAGCGGAAATTTCAAGCAGGTCAAACAGATGGGGGGGGGGGGCAAGGTTATGGATGGCTTTAAATGTAAACAGAAGTATTTTGAAGTTGATTCTCAGTTTGACAGGGAGCCAGTGGAGCTGTTGGAGGATGGGGGTGATGTGATGGAAGGAGGGGGTTCTAGTGATGACACGAGCTGAAGAATTCTGGACCAGTTGAAGTTTATGGAGGAATTTGTAAGGGACACCGAAAAGAAGTGAATTGCAATAGTCAATACGGGAGGTGACAAGACTGTGGACAAGGATAGCAGTGGTGTGAGGGGTGAGAGAGGGCCGGAGACAGTTTATTGCATAGGTGGAAATATGCGGACCGGGTTGTGTTATTAATATGGGAGTGGAAAGATAGTGAGCTATCGAGGATGACACCCAGGCTCTTGACCTGAAGAGAGGGGGACACAGTGGAGATATCAATAGTGAGAGAGAAACTGTTGGTTTTGTGTAGGGTGGATTTGGTACCGACAAGTAGGAGTTCTGTTTTGTCGCTGTTCAGTTTGAGGAAGTTATGTGTGAACCAAGATTTTTTTATTTTTCTGAGAGGCAGTGTGAGAGGGAGGAGGGTGGCGTTGGGTTTACTGGAGAGGTCGAGCTGGGTGTCATCCGCGAAGCAGTGAAAATGTATACCAAATTTACGGAAAATATTGCCAAGGGGGAAAAGGTAGATGATGAAGAGGAGGTGTCCCAGGAAAGAGCCCTGGGGCACACCAGAAGAGACGGGGAAGGACTGTGAAGTGAAGGAATTGAGTTGGATGAACTGAGAATGCCCAGAGAGATAGGAGTGAAACCAGTCTAGGGGGGTGTGAGTGATGCCTATGGTGGAGAGTCTATTAAGGAGGATAGGGTGGGAAATTGTGTCAAAAGCTGCACTCAGATCGAGGAGGATGAGGATGGAGATTAAACCGGCGTCCGCTGCCATAAGAAGGTTGTTGGTGATTTTTATGAGGGCTGATTCTGTACCGTGACGGAAACCAGATGTGAGATATATATATATATATATATATATCACAGTTGATTCATTTTATAATGTACATCTTTGAACATTATTATTGTATATTGTCAGGTAAGTTATGCTCTCTCTCTCAATAAATGATGTTTGTATTTGTGTGATAAAATACTTGAAAAAAGAAGTGCTATTAAAACATGCCTAGGATGTAATTCACAAGGGTATACTGCATATCATGTGTTTCCCTCCTTGTGGGCGTGGTGTGGAACATAACCCACTGCGATGGAGGGGGGATTACTGGACACAATTTTAGTCATTTTAACCTCAACTTCATTCGTACCTTCCACTATGCACCTAAATTAGTGACGTATTTTTCAATTACTCAAATTTATAAGTATTGTACTCACACTTTGAAGCCAAAATATAGTGGGGGTTTAGAGTCAATGGCATATGGACACATTATTTCATAGTTATTCAAGACACTGATGTTTGTATTCTTCTAAACCATCCATCCATCCATCTATTTTCTGAACCGCTTTATCCTCACAAGGGTCGCGGGCCATGCTTGCGCCTATCCCAGCTGCCTTCGGGCAGTAGGTGGGAGACACCCTGAACTGGTTGCCAGCCAATCGCAGTCTGTTAAACCAGGGGTCCCCAACCTTTTTTGCCCCACGGACCGGTTTAAGTCAGACAATATTTTCAGGGACCGGCATTTAAGGTGTGGCGGAATTAATACAACAAAATAATATGGTATGAGCTGCATGAAAACTGTGGTGTTTTCGAAATATAATAATAAACACAAGGAGCGTCTAATCTGGTCGCAACACTCTTATCGCTCTGGTAATGTTTAATGCCTTCAAAATACGATACAACGCAAATTCAAAGTGCATGAAAATGACGACTCACCACAGCCCCGAGCTTGATTTTCTGCAATCAGACAGTCCCATCTCGGGGTAATAGGAGACAATGACACCTCAAGTGTGTGGTTTATGTCCAGTCTACTTCGTAATTTTGTTTTCGTCGCCGTTGCTGCA